CAGAACTCATTGGGGGTGATAATGATTGCTCATAATCATTTGGCTGATAAGTTAATATAATTGATTAATCAACTAATTATACAGTGCCTGAACACACTCACTCCCCCAGCCTTAGTTTCAAAATAAGCAGGGGAGTTGGAGGAGGAGGGGGAGGGAGTATTCTAAAGTATTAAATTCAACCTAGACAAAACCAGAATCATTGCTTATTGTCCCGGAGCAGTGAGTGGGTCTTTGGTCAGACTCATGCATCTCTGAAATTCTGAAATTCTAGTATCCTTCTGAAAAGCTGTGCACATCTGTAAAATACATTTTGTGTGTGATTTTAGGGGATCCTTGATGGGTCCCCCTAGACAATGGCCAGTGAGCTCAGCACAACTGACCCTGGGAAGAGTGGGAGGGGCTGGGAGGATAGGGGGTTGTTTTGCCTGTGCGGTGGCACCTGAGCTATTTGGACATGAAACTGTGGTCACTGGCCTTCCAAATCTACTCTCCCCGTGGCTCTCTGCCAGGCTGGGAGGATTGGGAGACAGCTACAGCTAGCTACTTCGGGGACTTAGAATGCCTCTTCGAGGCACAAAGAGGGCCTGAGATAAATGACAGTCTGTGAAGGTGACAGGAAGGAGGGTCCCTCCCAAGTGTCAGCTCAGTGCCCGAAGTGTCCTTGACACTTGGGGACCTTGGAGAGGGCAGAAAAACTCTGGTGTGAAGAAACACAAGTCTAGGGGTTGGCTCTGCCGGGCTGGGGAAGCCAAATCAAACTGCTGCTTTGCAATCCGAAACCAGAGGCTGGGTCATTAGCAGGAAACCGAAGTGCTGGGGGATCGCATTTCTAAAGCGTCAATTCTGCACTGGGGTAACTGGGTGCAGGGGGGTGGGTGCTGAAAGCAGGACTGAGCCATCCCCGGTTCTGAGGACACTTTCCAGGGCCCCTGTTTTTGTCTCCTATTCTCAAAGCTAAACCAAAGCTGGGAGACCCAAGATTAACAAGTCCTCAGTTTGGGTGCCCAGCACCTTATGCTCAGGGCTCAAGGCTGTATCCCCCAGGCAGGCAGTTAGTTGATTTACAGAGCTAGCCAGGCTGTGGCTCGGTGTGTGTGTGGAACCCTGGCCTCTACTCCCTTTCCACCACTTCTACTTCTAACTGGAGTCACATAGATGCAAATAGAAGACCCGAAAAGGCCAGCCTTTGCAGAGGTTTCTAGAAAAAGAAGAGGATGAGCCAGCAGAGAGCAGACACTACGCTCTCAGAACCCCCCCCGCAGATCTATCCAGTCCTAGGCGTTTGGTCCTGGCTAGAGAGAGCAATTGTAGACACCAGGGATTCTAGGGGAGCTGGGACTGGGAGCCTGGGACACTCAGCTGGTTCCCGGACCTGGCAGAAGGAAGCTAGGCTGTGAGCGCTGCGCCTGCTCAGATAACCGCTCCAGTGTTTGACTGAGGGTGGATTAAGTGCCTGTGGGAGTCCATTCACATGGAAACACAGGCCCTCACCCTAAAGTCTTCACCTGGAGGGAAGTAGACTTTCTAAATCAAAGCCGCTTTGGCGTCACACCACGGATTCACACCAAAATCACAGCCCTCTCTCAAGAACGAAAACGGGCCAATCCCAAACACACCCACGATTTCTCTGCATCCGAGACCGCAGGTAGCGACACCCGAATTAGAAATGAAGGTTGCTTAGGTTGGTTGACGTTTGGGTTCCATCCACCCACCCGAGCTCCGGCAATGACTTAGTCATTTGGTGATGTGTCTGCTTTGCGCCGCGGGGTTGAGAATTGAACGCACTTTACAGGGTTAATTGTGAGAGCGACTAAGGTCACTTCGTGGGGTACTTCCCCCCCAGGGCCAGGGCCTAGCGCCCCCCACCTCCAGCGCACACGCGCGCGCCCCTTGCACGCCATCGATTTCTATCGTGGTTATTATGTGTGCTTTGAACGCCCACATCTGTAACATATATTTCTTGATTATACGCATCTTGATTATAAAACAAGCAAGTGCATTTTACATCCGGAACTGTCTTGCGAATGAAACTCCTAAATCCAAATTGGAAGAGACACCCACAGATGGAGCACACACAAACACACGCAAACACACACATGGCTTCCTAGCACCTGCGGCTCCTGGCCTCAGAGTATCAGCGCCCACAGCTCCTTGTAGGTGCAAAGGTAGCTACATCTAGAAGACCTAAGCCACCACTGTGGGGGGGAGCAAATACTACCCCCCCTCCACATAACCATTTTCTTGGCTGGCTGCCAAGAGGCCAAATTCAGAAACCAGCGAGGCAGAAAGTGTACTGATGGGAAGGTAACAAGCCTCTTGTGGAGCGCCCCAAGGAGCCTGTCTGTTGGCTTAGGGGAAAGGTCAGAACTAGGGTTTTCCTTGAATGGAATTTTTCGAAAGGCCTACACGTATTTCGGGAACTTTCACGCACGTATGAAAGGGTGAGTCTCAGGACAGTTTGGGCCCAGAGACAGACTCCGTGTCAGCCTACACACTCACCATTTACATACGCCCCTCGCTACTTCAGGACAACCTAGACACGGGAGTAGGGAGGAGGCGTACCGCAAGGTCGCGACCCCTGCCTGTGCCCAAGCGCGCCCTTCGGCCCCTGCAATTAGACCCGGGAGGTCAGGAAGAACTCGGACGCCTCTACCCGCAGCTCAAAGACCAGCAAAGGTGACCCCGGGCCCCTCCCGTCGGGTCTCAGACGCCAGCGCAGCCTGGAGCGGGCGGGCGCCCGGAGGGCTCTGGCCAGTACCCGCATTCAACGCCACATACCCACCAATCTGCAAGCCGCTCGGCCCTGCAGGCCGCAGCAGCTGACCACTGCCGGGGGCCAAGAAGGCCTGGTGCTTCCAGAAATTCTGGCCTTCCTTTGTCCCCTCAGACGCGGCCAGAACAACAACAACAAAAAAAAAGAGTTTATATAGTACAAAGAGCGAACATCTAGGAAGAGGGAAGTTGGCTCCAGTTGCGTCTACGTGGGTAGAGTTTGATGGGAGGGGGTCTCTTTTTATCTGCAACTCCTCCATCCAGGTTACTGCCTCCTGTACGGAACCACGGTCCGCTCATTGGATTTCCAAAAATCCCTTGGAAATCTCATCTGAGGCCCAAACAGGAATGAAAGGGGTGAGGTGAGGTGGGGTGGGGCAGGGTGTCCGTGGGGAGGTCAGGGCAGGTGAAGGGTGATTCCATGAGAAGGGGTGCTAAGTTCCGGACACCCAAAGACTCTGGACTATTTATTCAGTTAGCTGCTGTTAGGCAGGGCGCATTCGTGGGTCAGACAGATAGGTGGCACTCGAAGCCTGGGAGAGGGAAAAAAAAAAAAAGACCCAGGCGCCGGCCCCTAGTGGCCTCGGCAGCCGCCGCCACCACCACCATAAAGCCCGCGGCGAGATTGCGACCGGCGCCAGGTGAGTAATAGGCACAGAAATCCAGAGAGATTGTGAGCGGGTCACCCCCGGTCCATCAGCGCCACAAGAGTTATACATTAACAGCACTATATATAAATAAGATACAGAGGAGATTATAAAGACGAAAGGAAAGAAAAGAAGGAAGGGAGGAAGACCTAGGAGGGGCCGGGGACAGGTTTGGGCACTGTCTCCAAATTTGGGGGATGGAGAAGGGAATAGAAGAGGAAATCTGCCTGAGACAGCCGAGCAGATTCTGTTTGGTTTGGTTCAGTTTCTGCTTTCTCCGCATTTGAAACCGAGCTATTTTCTCCCCAATTCGGGAGCTCGCGCAGCGGGAGGCCTTGAGCCAACTACCACCTTCCCCAGGCGGAGAGCGAGCGTTTTGGTCCCGGGGAGGACGGGCCTCTCGGGCCCCCTGGTCCCCTAAGCACTTTCCAGTCTCGTCTTTCTAGTTGTTTTCTCCTCCTCCCTAGACAACTGAGAGGAGGGGCAGTGGGGGTCCCCACGTGTCTGGGCTCGAAGAGGGGGTTTGCCCACCCCTCCAAAGGTCTAGAGCTGGGTTCTCTTCCAAACCCAGGAGGAGGGAGGGGAGTGGCCCCCCTCATGACCCGCCGTTCAAGAGGCCTGAAGGTGACAGGGACGTAAGGCCCGGCAGGCGGGCTCCGAGATGGGGGTTGGGGACAGTCAGTCGCCAGGCAGGCTCCGGCTAGGTCTTTGAGTCAAGGCCCCCAGGGCTAGAAGTCCTAAGGGCTAACTTTAGAGAAAGTATGTTTGCCCACCCCCAGAGGAGCCTGGAGGGTGGGGAGACCAAAAGACTGACAGAGGCTCCACCATTTTTCTTTCTTTTTTTGTATTGGAAGATTCAAAGATAAACTGAACTTCAAAAGATAACTTGCCTACCTCGGGACGGGTTAAGGGAAGTGTGTGTGTGTGTGTGGGGGGGGGTGATGCCAGCTTCCTGGGCGACTTTTGCCTTGGAGGTTCCATGTGGGCTCCCGAATTACCTTCCCTCTCATGAACAAACTTGGTGTACACACTGCAGGGTGGGGTGAGAGTACCCTCCCTGGCCTTGTCACAACCCTGAATGTCAGTGGGCAAGGGACACAAGGCTTAGCTTCCCCCCCCCTGCCAGAATCTCGGGAGTAGGGAGGATTTATTTTGTGATCCAAGTCAGAAAAGGGAAAGAAGAATTAAAAACGAAAACCCTTCTCAGCGCTCCCAGGTTATTTCTGGTTGGATTCCTAGGGGTGGGGGGGCGGGGGGGGGAGCCGACTTTGAACACAGGGTAAATCTTCCCCTATTAAAACTGAAGTATATGAAGTTCCTATTTACGAAATTTAATCAGTCCCCTTTCCCCTCTGGTTCCCTAAATTAAAGGGAAAATATTTTCAGATCTATTTGGCCCCCTTCACAGGAGCAAGGGACTTTTGTTTTCAGCTTTGTAATTTGAGTGACATCTCATTTTGGTTTGCTGGGGGGGTGGGGTGGTCTTAATTATTATTTAAAGACAAAGGAAGATCATCCCCTTCTAATTTTCCAACTTCGAGAGAGACACTCTTGAAGAAATCATTAACACGACTTCAAAACTCATTTCAATAAAAATTTATTGAAATTTCACTGATGTTTTTAAGGAGAATTACAGAAAACTCATCAAGGACTAAACACAAAATATGCCTTCATGGATTTTTTTTAGTTTTTTCTTTTTTAGTTTGTTTTGCCTTTCATGGTTGTGTGAGTCCCGCTGTGCACCAATCCAAAACACCGTCAAGATGAACAATCGCAAGAAAACCTCACTTGAGTTAGAAGATGCCAGAGCCGACTGAGTATGAACACTTAGGAGGGTTTTAAATGGTGGCCTCAGCTCCCACAAAATCTTATCCCCTCCCAGGGTGTCAGAGTTTAGGACATTTCAAGAGGAGCCTGGAAGGGCCAGTAGCTCCCCAGTTTTGGTGAAAATAGGAAACAGTATTCCCAACCCCGCCCCCCTCCACCAGCTTTCGGACATTTAAAAAAACTGCAGCCAGCTCTGCTTGACAGAATATAGATGCTCGTTAGTGTGCGTTAGCCATCTCTCTGACCTGGAAATAAAAACCAAAAGGCAAAACAAGAATAAAACCTGACAGACACACTCGTATTTACATCCAGCTATGTACAATTCAATAAATTAAAGTTTAACTTTCTGAGCGGTCATATTCCACCTATTTACAAGAGATATCAAATAATTACATAAATACTTTGTCCAATAGTCGTGTTTCCTCTTTATTATTTCTTTTAAAACCTTGTTATTGCATATACAGTTAAGAGAACTAATGGTCCGACAGGCACACGAAGCCCTCTACATCGAGCGCTTAGATAAAATAAACTCAATTGATTTCATTCCCATTGCTTCCCTTTCATCCCCACCCCGCCCCGCCCCCCCACTTCCTCGGGGTTGCCGATTGGAGCAGGGTTAAGGCTGACAGAGTTTTTGTTTTTCCGTAAAAGCCAAAAAAAAAAAAAAAATCCAAAAATAAAACCCAGAAAACTGTAACATGCGAAAAAGGCCGGTATCCTCCTTTAAAACGTCACGATATTAAAAAGACACAGGATTTCTCTAATATAGACCAGGCAAGGGCAAGGCCTCCTCCCTTCCCCAGCAACTGATTGAATTTTCAGTCTTAAGAGACAGTTCCACGGGGACCTCATTTGTCCCCGGTTGGGGTTTGTTTGTTAGCTTAGGGGAAAAATTATTTGTGTTTCCACTTGACACACGAAATGGGAAAGAAAGAGATTTGGGCACAGTCTCTCAAACACCCTCTCTCCTGGCCGGCCTGGCTACCTTGTTCTTCAGTCCCAACTGAAGTTCCACAGCAGCCTCCACAGAAGTCATTCTAGACACAAAAGCCAGTTTGCCACCCCCCCTAACCCGGCCCCACCCTGCGTCTTAACGCAACAGCAGCCTGTTTCCACAGCTCAGGAAGACAAGGCCTGTGGTTCTTTGGAAGGAGCATGGGGCTCCTTCCCAGACAAAACTCAAAGGATGGGTTATCACCCTGCGTGGAAGGCCTGTGGTTTATTTTTCCGTCCAACAAAGTGCACTGGCAGATTTGACCGATCTGGAATGGAGAGACCTTGGGGGGGGGGGGGGAGCGTTTGTTTGTTTGTTTTTGTTTGTTTTTAAGGGGACCCGCTGCAGGACCTGTCGGGCTTGGCTTCCAAGCCACTGACCAGCCGCTGGATGCTCTGCAGTTCGCTGGTAGCCGCCTCCTTCTCTGAGCAGAGTTTGGGTGACAAGGACACTGAGCTGGAGGATAGCGTGGAGGAGCGGCTGTTCAGTTCCGACCCGGAGTCCACCGCCACCGAGGCCGGGCTGGCTGCCAGAGCGGCTGCCTTGACGTCTAGGGGCCCTGCGGCGGAAGCCATGGATGGCAACGCAGTGGCCAGCAGGCTGCTGCTGTCAGGTACTGGAACCGGGATGGAATACGGACTGTAGCGCAGCCTGGGGCGCATGCTGTTCAAGTTGAGGAACGGATGGCGGTGCACCGAGCTGGAGGCGGCCGCTGAGGAAGCCGCGGCTGCAGCTGCCATGTATGTGTAGGGGTAAGGAAAGAGGCTCCCAAAAGGCGACATGGCCAAGCCCTGGGGAAGGAAGAGAAGAAACACAGGGAGTCAGAGGGTGGGCCACCCCTCTCACCCACCTCCTGCTATCTGGGGCAAACCAGCTTTCTTGGAGGAGTTGGGTGCAATACTTTCCACTCTGCTCCCTCGCCCTAGGCCACAGATCCCTTGTATGCTAAACCAAGGAGTTAACATACTGGGAACTTCGTGGCTATTAAATCTTCTGCAATATGTCATCCATGATGCCTGACCCTCGGGGCTATTAGCAAGTTCCCATGAGGGCTAACAACTGCACCTGTTGAGTGGACTCAGGGAGGGCCTTCACCAAAGGGGCTAGAGTTAAATTCTGGTGCACACATCATAAAATCTTCAATTTTATCCTTTTAGATCTTTCCCAAGTAGGAAAATGTAAGAATGATATGGAAGGAAATGGGGGAGGGGTGAAAAGGTGTTAATCATTAATTAAGACAGACAACACCCAGCCTCTAAGGCTTGTGTCTCCAGTGGGAGACTGAGGCAGATCAGGGAATGGGACAGGAACCCATACAGAAGCAGAATTTGCATGCAAGAACCCAGGGTGTGTCCTCTGCCTGGAGTTGTCTAGACTTGTCTGTTCTGGCTGACCCTCCTCCACCTGTCACCTGCCTGTCTGGGGGAGACCAGCGTGAGGTAGGAGGGTTGGAAGCCGGTTAGAACCTAGCCTGTTGTCTCATCTTCCTCTTCCCTCACGGGGGAGGGCTATGTGCCTTTTGGCTCAGGCAAGGGAGACGAATGTGCTCAGACAAAACAAAAGGTCAGAATAGGGCGAAAAACTCCAGAGAGGCTTCCCACCGGGTTCAGAGCTTTCTCTTCAGCCCCTCAGTGCCGGGGCACAGCTGTCTGAACCACACACACAGGCCCCGCCACAGCCAGGCCCCCTCTCCTTTGACATTTCCCACGTGTGCAAAACCCATTAACCCTTTGGAGATAGGCTGGGCGGCTGGCCTGTTTGGGGGATGGGGGTGGGGAGGAAAAGCTTTGAACTAGGTGAAAGGCTGGCTGACTCCAGACCAAATTCTCACCCAGGGAGTCAGTCACTTCTCCCCACACCTCAGTCCCTTCCTGGGGGAGTAGTGGCTAGGAGCCTCCAGAGAAACTTGTTGGCTCAAAGAAGAAATCAAAGAGGCCCCGTGAGTCAGACAGGCTCAAGCTCCACCGGGGACCAGCTGTGTGACCTGAGCCAAGGGATTCAACATCTCTGGGCCAGAGACGATACATCAAATGATTCCAACTTGTCACAAAGTTAAGTAGTGTGGAACTTAGCCATGCCCAGACTAACATACAGGAAGCAGTTTAAGAGGGACTTTAGGGGGTGGGGTGGTCACGATGGCTCAACGAGATAGCTGTGACACCCTGCAAAGGGTCAATAAAATATTCTAATGGTTACTAGAATGAATCACTGTCTAACGGTCCTAGGCAAGAGACTGGGTCTGAGAAGAGACTGGAGTGAGCGTAAGGATGGGAGGTCAGGCAGGAATACCTGGGAGGCCAGAACATGTTGCTGAAGATGGAAGGGCAGGGTCGCAGCCGAAGCCCCGGACAGTCCCTGCGCTGCGGCAGCGGAGGCCATGGCTGTGGAATCCAGGCCCGAGACGCCGGTGGATGCCCCGGATACTGTGGCCAGCAGGGGCCCCATGCCCGCAGCCATGCTGGAGAAGGCGCCGCCCATGGCGAACTGACTGGGGTGCAAGAAGAGAGGGTGCCCGTTGAAGAACTGCTGGCCGGCTAAGCCTGGGGCAAAACCCAAGCCCGGAAGGGGCCCCTGCGCCAGGTGCGCGGCGGCGTCGGTCTGCACTGACAGTGGCGCAAAGGCGTCCTTGGAGGGCAGTGGGCGCGCCTCATCCACCTTGACTGCGCCTGGACCTTCGCGTCCAGGGCTCCTGCGCTCGTCGGCTCCCGGGACGCGCGTGCTGGATGAGATGGTGGCCGGGCTGTGGCGCGAATCTGGCGATGCCTTGTCCAGGCGCGCGGTGTCTCGGGCCCGCCCGGGTTCCGCGGGGAACAGCTGCGCCCTGGTGGACGGGCTGCCCTTGTCTCGGCCAGGCTCCTCGGCGGTGGTGGTGGAAATCTTAGCTGCGTCGCAGGCCTCGGGGCCGTGCTCCTCCTTGCTTTCGGCCTCGGCGTCACTTTCGGCTTCGCTGGGACACAGATCTTGGGGGAAGAGAGGAAAACGCCAGGGGAACCGGCGGTCAATCTTGTTTTCTAATTTAAACTCCACCTCCTAGCCTGGCACGGTGGCGCAACTCCTGGCATGACAACACGGAGGCATCGGACGGAGACAGACAACCTGGAGTGAGACTATCTCAAAAACAAGATTCCCAACGGGCCGCTTATTGGCTGTATAACCCCGACTCAAACCACTCCTAGTCTCCGTTTTTCCTCTCTGCAAAATGGGAATGATGTAGCGCTTTTACAGTTAAATTCAAGAAACATCATAAGTGTTAAGACACGGTTCAACCTCCTCCAGGCAGGCCCTCAACGGGCAGCTTTTCTTATTGTAATGATTCTCCATTAAAACAAAACAAAACCAGAAACAAAGCTACTACAAACTTTCTCTTGCATTTCTCCCTTTGGATTGCAAATTCGCTTTTTAAAGATGAGACCTCAGAACTCGGCTGGAATACATTCCTGTCACCTTCAGGGTCTTTGGCTGGGAGAGCAAGGGAGGTCAGGCGCTTCCACAAATTTGTGAACATTTTGGATTTTTTTTTTTTGGAAAGAATCCTTACATCTAAATGGGCCCAGGCAGAAACTAACACCCCCCCACACCCCGGCCATCTATGTTCCCTCAGTTCCTACAAAGATGGGTGGTGGACAATCAGTCCACCACACCCTCCTCTGTGGGTGTCCTACCAGACAAAAAAGAAAAACGAACCCCACTTTATGTTAAAAGCTTAAGTGGATTGAAGACATAAAAAACTTTCCATTTTATTTCACTTTAAAAACAGGTTTCTTCCCGTTGAGAGCTGTCTTTCTAAATAACTGCTACTTGCTCTTTAAACAGAAAACTGGCTCAAGATTCAAACCACTTTTTCTACCCCTACCCCCACCTCCCTAAGGGCTTTGCCTCCTCCCCCAGATCAGCTGTGGCTTCCCTGTACCAGGTGACTGAGAATCCCTGGCCTTCTCCCTGCCCAACACTTTCTCACTCAGCATTCAATTGGAGGTTGACCAGCACCACCTGGATACTGTTGATTGGAAAGAGAAGACAGGAGTAGAGAATGAAGGACAGACAAAGCTTCAGGTGCTTTGTGCAACTGCCCTTGCCAAGAGGAGACAGGACACACACACACACACACACACACACACACACACACACACGGCGGTGTTCTGAGTTCTCCTCTTGTCTGCAGACTCCAAAGTGAGTCTACTGGCTCAGGACCTTTCCTAACTTCCAAGGCCAAGAAAACCTGGAGTCTATAGTCATCACAGAGGATGCCAGGCTTACCTTTGAGGTTGGATGTCCCCACAGTGGACACAGCCGGAGAGGAGGCCTGTGCGAAGCAGTTGAAGGCTGCCTGCTCACTGGAGGACTCGTCTGAAGTCCCTGTCTCCTTCTTGTGTCTCTCGTCGAACACCCTCATGGACTGCAGGGTGAGCTGCTTTCTGAGACAGAGGCACACACCCATCGTTAGAGAATGCCACATAACTTCCCTTCTCCCCCTCTCCGGAGTGGTACACACCTCACCCCACTGCCCAATGTGAAGTCTGTGAAATGTGCTGTGACCACACAACACAGACCCCGGCATTGTTCTTGACTGTGTAACTGGGAGGGGGCCTATGCATTAGGAAAGAACTTGGCCTGGGAAATCTTGTTTAAAATCTTGGGACAGAGGCTACAGTTGTCCAGGGACAGGGACACGACTGATTATCCCCCAAATTAAAGTTTCAGCTCACCTTTTTTCTCTCCTGCCATTTCCAGTGTCCCGAAAACCTTTTGCAAAAGGATTGTTGTCTATTTTTAACTGAGTTATCTAGAGAAAACACACAAGCAAGACAGGCATTAGCTTCACTTTCTAGAATGTTCTAAACGTACTCACACCCACACACCAACTCCTTATTCTTTCCTAGAAATATGACTGCCCAAGTAATCACAGGGATGGACCAAGTCAAAGTGAGAGGGAAGACGATGGCAGGGAGATGGGAAGGGGTTGAAGCATCAAAAGAGATTGCAGCCTGGCGGTGATAGCGCACCACTTGGGAGGCAGAGGCAGGCGGATCTCTGTGAGTTCAAGACCAGCCTGGTCTACAAGAGCTAGTTCCAGGACAGCCTCCAAAGCCACAGAGAAACCCTGTCTCGAAAACAACAACAAAAAAGATTGAATTAACATTTAATGTTTTGGGGAGCCAAGCAAGGATTCCACACTGAGATTATCTAAAGAAATTCCTTCCTTTGGATGGTTTAGGTTTAGAAATGAGACTGTCCCAATGTGGCCAAAAGGCACAGTCTATGGATCTGAGTTAGTAGGCTTCTGTTTTAATTTTTTATATAGCACAATTAATTATGAAGTTTGTTAAAATGCTATTTCCTGCTGTTTTCCAACCACAGTCATATACACGTGTGTATGTGTGCACATTCGCACATGCATGCGCGCGCACGCGCACAACACACACCATATACACAAAAACCTTTTCTGTGAATCTAATAAAATTAATTATGGGGCTTCACTACCTTGTAGTAGAATGACTCCCCCCCCACACACACACAAGAGTGGAGGTCAAGGAATTATAACACTGAAGACTTAGAGATTTAAAAGGAATGGCCACCGTAGCATGTTTTCATTTGTGAACTGTTGACGGTTATACCTGGCCTCTAGACCTTGTCTCTGTCTCTGTCTCTCTGTCTCTGTCTCTCTGTCTCTCTCTCCCCCCCCCCCCCAATTAGGAAGAGAAGGCCCTCAGCCTCTGATTTATTTAAAGCCATTAAAGTAACAATGTAACTTTCACAGGATTCTGGGTCTAGAAGAGTCAGTCTGCTTGAAGATTGTTATCTTTCAACTCTAGTCTGATAGAGAAAATATGTATCCAGTGACTAAGAGGTGGAAACCTGGGCTTTGGTTTGAGGTTCTGTTATTTAAAGGATGTCAGACATCGGGTTTACATGAAGCAAGAACAGCTGGTGGTGACTTAACATTCACACTAGGAAATGTGAGGATCAGTGTCCACAGGGACCAGGGACTGACCACGAGTTCAAAGTACAAGGTGTTGCCGGGTGAAGTGGCCTCTCCCTGAGGTCCAGAGCTCAAGTGAGGAACCACAGGGGTCCTCAACCTCTCCCCACCCACCCACAGCTGCCAAAGCTCCATACTGGTGAACCATCTATAGACACTCTTTTCTGGGCCTGAGTTCAGTTTCCCTGGCTTTACAGCTAGAACTGCAGACTCCAGGTGTGAACCCTTTTTAATCCCCAGCTTCAGGCCCAGGGAAGAAAAACTTTAAGCTAGTGACTATGAGGCAGTGACTATTCCCACCTCTAAGTGGGGAGCCTCAGACAGTTCAATCAACATAACCCTGCACTGGGGTGCAGTTTTACACACCACTACCATTATCAACAGCAGCATAAAAAGTCATTAAAGCAAATTATGTATTCAGGACTTTTGACTATGAAAGGACCGCCCATCTCTACTCAGTCTCCAGTCAGGGTCCCAGACTTTTTTTCACCTTAAATTGCTACCTGTTCCTTCCAGTACTGGTTCTCTCTCTCTCTCTCTCTCTCTCTCTCTCTCTCTCTCTCTCTCTCTCTCTCTCTCTCTCTCTCTCTGATCCTTCCTCCTGAAGAGGATGGACTAGGAAACACCTGGAGACAAGCCCCTGGGCCAGGGCAGTGACTAGAATAGCAGTTTTCAACAAGCATCAGATTCCCAGCTGGGGGGAGTGTTTTGTCGTGCCCCCCCCACAAGGAATCAGTCTTCTCCCTAGAAGGTTAAATCACACGGGACTTTTTGTCCAATGTCCTAATAGCTTTCTCACTGCTAGCAAGCAAACTTAAAGGTAGAGAGAAATGCCCTGTGGGTTACCTTGTCATTTTGGTAGGCAGTCACGGCAATGAATTCTGTTTCCGGGAACAGGTATGTGCGAAACGTACTATAAGGCAGTTTCAAAATATCATTGGCTCTGACGATGTGGAACCGGGGCTGGTACTTATGCATAGAGTTGAGTATGGTCTGTAGAAGCAGGGAGGGGGAACACACATCAAAACAGAGAGAGAGAGAGAGAGAGAGAGAGAGAGAGAGAGAGAGAGAGAGAGAGAGAGAGAATGGCTTAATAAGACATATTAGATCTTAGGTCCCCTGCCAAGCTGACATTGTCCCCACTACTGGGTCCAAAGACCGCCTCCATGGGGGTACATTTCACGCCACAGTATGTTATCTTCTGGAGACTTCCAAATTGTTCCTCAGCTTCTAAAGCGTGCCCCCCACCCCACCCTCACCATCTGCATATTCATTCGTACCCTGAACCCTAGCCTACCTGGGTCCCAAAACTATAATTCCCCTGCCAGGTTGCGTGATCGCTTGGGAAGGCCAAAGTCTTGAAAGATAGAGAAAAACATGCATTTTAATTTACAAAATGATTCAGTACTTTAAGCGCCCACTAATTGACAAGCCCAATCCACTTAAGGCCTTGAGAGGCCGCGCTCTAGAGAGGAATATTTATGCCCTAATCAAATCAAGGGCTTCAAATGCAATCCCTGTCCGCTTTAGATATTTCCGAGCCATTCACGTCTTCCTGGGCCTAATCTTTCTGCTTATTCCTCGCTTATCACTTTGTTTATTCTATTGAAATGCTGAGGAGGGGCAGGGAACAGGCAAAGGTCCCCCTGCCTCACTTTCACAGGCAATGCAAGTCTCCATAAAGTCACTAAGAACACTCACGGAACCCACATGTACTCCCCAGTGCACATGCACCACTTTCTTTTCAACACCAAAGGTTGAAGCTTGTTCCTATTACACCTGAGTTTCCCTCAAGCCCAAATCACTTTTAGCAAGAGAAGATACACTTTCAAAAATGTAGCCACAGCCTTGAGCCAACCCAGTAAAAGCTTCGAACATTCAAACTCATCCAAGATATGACAGGGCTGATTTCAACGAAATAAAATAATTATTTCTAAGCAAAACAAACCCTGTCCAACTACAAAACTTTAAAAATCGACATATAACTTTTTTGTTGTTAGTATTACTCTACAACATCCAGGTCCAGCACCTACCCAGGACCTTTGATTTCTATTCCGGTAAATTCTTCTAGAATGTCAGACCTTCCATTATCCGGGGAGTAAGATTCACCACCCCCCCATTCACTCTACAACTAGGTTGCAAACTGAACAAAGTTGGCTCATGTGACAACCAGCAGCCAGAGAGGAGCCTGGGCCCAATTCAGTTTACCAGTAAGCCATACCTCCCAGAGTCTTAATGATAGTCAAGGAAACTTACAAATCCGTGTTTATCCGATATGTTGTTGGTGAGTTTCAGTTTGTGGAAAGTGACGACTTTGGACATCCACTGCTCCCCCGTAGCGGGGCTGTCCGGGTGTATGTACATTCTCTTTGGCATTTCGGGGTCTGCCTTACCGGCCACCATCCATCGAGAATTGTGAAATTTATATCGACAGTCATCAGCAGCTATAATATCCATCAATAGGATATACTTGGCCTTTTTATCCAGCCCAGAGCACCTCACTTTAAATGGGGGGAACATTCTCCTACAAGAGCAGAGCACAGAAAAGGGAAATAGATAAATAAGATGGGGTACAGGGCTCAGGACCTCCGATTTGGCACCATCTAAAAGCATAAGGCTTTTGCCCAGACCAGGGAGTCTACAGGGTGGCTGTGAGTAAAATTGTTTACCTCCACACTGACATTAAAAATGCTCTATTTCCCATTGTTTTCCTATCCCAAGCCTCAAATCAAACCAATTACAGCAACCTCTTGTTTCTAAAAGGACCTACTATTGCTTTAAAAAACAAAACAAAAACAGCCCCCCCAAGAAAACCATGTTTGTCTGTGTAGCTGTTTAGATTGATTGCTCTCTGTAAAGACTAGTGAATTTTTGCCTAAGTTTTGTCTTTCTTTCTTTTTCTGAATGCATTTAGTTTGAAACAGTTAGAAGTAGGGTTCTAAGAAACAGTGGTTAATAAAGGTTAGGATTTTCCGCCCTCCCATTGATGAGAAAACATTAAAGCTTATCGAGGAAAAAAAATGCCCAGTTGTAAGCCTGAGGTTGGCGAAGTTCTCAGAATGGAGGCTGGAGGCAGACAAGCGACCGGCCTGGTAACCCATCCGTGATCTAAGCTATAAACCGCATTCCTCTAGTCTGTAGGCCACTGCAAAATCCTGCTGCTTAATTTCACAGAAGTGCTGGCTTTCCGTACTTTTGACTTAAAAGGAAGTACTCAGTTATGAAAACCGACTAAATGTCTTGTGGGTTGGAGAAAGATCTGATGCCAAACTTTGGCCTCAAGTAGTTTGCAGGGAGACAGATAAGTGGGGGTTTTATTTTCGTGCCCTTTCAACTGGTATCCTGATAAACCTCAATGCTACAGACATTTCTTTTTTCTTAAATCAGTGGTTTTAAATGTTGGTCCCAGAGTCCTCTCTTACAAGCTTGTTTGGTCAGTTAAGGACACTAAATGTTATGTAAAGTAATAATATTTTAGCACAAAAGCAGGGTTCCTCGGGTCTACACACATATCCTTAATTATCAAGAGTGCCTGCTCCGTTCTCCCTGGGCTTGCAGACATGCAAGATGGCCATGGGAAAAGAAACTCAAACGTCCTTCGCTTCTTCTTCGCCTTCCCATTGATTTCTCTCTGTCCCAGACCAGTCAGGCTTAGGCGGCCTTCAGCCCCAGAGACTAAGCTGAAAGACAGAGAGGACCGCAGGAATCCCCACCGGTCTCCCACTACCGTACAATAGGGGTTTTAAGTGTCTACCCTGGGAAATAAAACCAAACAGACAAAAACAAACAGAAATAAAGATATTTCACAATGGCTTTACAAACGGCCTTTCTGCAACAGGGTGCTTTACCAATAGCTGCACAAGTCAGTGTGTGTCTCTTTCAATGGAAAACACCTTCTATTCTGTACGGAACGGAACGCGGGATGCAGGTCCCAAAGAACCCCGCAGCGGGCCCAGGTAAACTGACATTTCGTGACCCTCGGACTGGGCCCAGGAGTCTACATTTTTGTGTGTGTGTGGTGGTGGGGAACTTTTCGTCCCAAACGTAACATACAGGCAGAATCTACTGTTTTAAGAGACAAAAAAAAAAAAAAAAGGATACGACACGAAAAACTTCAGATGGTTTGAGGGGGAGGAGTCCCCACTAATTTCTTACCTTCCCGACTTGGTAATGACCATCTCCGTACCCCGCTTGTGAAACTGGTCCCAAAGTTCCTTGGACTCCAGGTGCACCTTGGGGTCGTCTTCCACATCCTCTTCGGGTTCCATGGTCTTCAGAGGCCTCAGATGCGCCTGGGGTCCCAGGGATGAGAATGGAATGCCGGTCTCAGCGGCTCCCACCAACTGATCCATGATGGGCTTGGCCAGGGCTCCCGGCAGCGAAAGCGCCGCGGCGCCGTTGGGAGGCAGCGTTAGCGCGGGGAAGAAAGGCGGCTGGTGGCCCAGCACCGCGCTCATGGCGAAGTCCGGCGCCCGGTGAGGTAAGAACGGATGATAGGCCATGCTTGTCCCAGGAATAACCGGATCTCTCATGGAGAGGCTCATCCACTCCGGATAGGGAACCAGTCCGCAGCTGCTGGCTTGACTCCGCTTTTGTTTTTGCTTCTCAAAAAATCAATTAAAAAATTCAACAGCAACACATAGTTCTGTTTTGTTTAAAATAAAAGAGGAACAAATTACAACTAAAGTCTTTGAAAGGGAAGAGTAAAGTGTCTTTGGGGGAAGAGAATGAGGCTTTTAAAGAGGGTACGGCGACAGATCAGGAGACATAGCCTCTGCAGGGGCTGTCCTGGTGCGTGGAGTGTGTTTGAAAAGCCGCTCCTGGAAGTAGGTTGCAGTAGGGCGAGCAGCAAGCAGGGGCTCGACTGGCGCCCGAGCCCTGTGGCTTAGCTGGAAATAGACACAGCCTTTTCCCGGGGTGGCTCCCCGGCTCCCACGCTCTTTGTTGCCAAAGCGCAAGGTTCTCCGAGACTTTTTTTTTTTAACCTTTTTTCGTCTCCTTCCCCCGCCCCCTAGCTCTTCTCTGGCTTTCTCGCAGGAGGCGTCTTAGTTGAGCTAGATAGACTCTGGCTTTCACAGGGAGCGAGATCAAGGGGGAAGGAAAAGTCTCTCTTAAAAAAAAAAAACTGATTCAAGCCCCTTTCCAGCGACGTTATCAAAACTCGTAACTGCGAAGCTGGCTTCAGTTCGCGCTCCTCGTCTTCTCTCTGGCTCCGAACTGCGCGCAGTGTCTGGGTGGCGATCCGAATGGTGCCTGCGATCTTCTACCTCGGGGACTCGGCTGTCTTCCTTGTGCTAAAAAAACGTGAGCGAAATCGCTTTCCTAAAAATAATAAATTTAAAAAAATCAGCGTCCGGGAGCGCAGGGCGAGGGAGGATCGAGAAAACGGGTGCAAAAAAAAAAATAGGAAAGGAGGAAGAGACGGGAGTGATTGGGAGCTGGAGTAGGCGAGTAGAGGGAGGGAGAGAGAAAGAGAGCGAGCGAGCACCTCGCCACCCTCCTCCGCCTCTAGAATTCCCCGGGCGTCTGCTCGGCGGCTCTGGACGGTCGGGCTGCGCTGTGGGCTGCAGAAGCCCGAGGCTTGTTGATTGGCTCTTTGACGCTTTCGGACCAATTGTGTGGCTGCATAGGCGTGGTTTTCACAGGTCGAGTGCTGGGGGAATAGAGCCGAGTTATAAAAAGAAGGTGTCGGAAACTGGAACGTCGCTGCGCCGCGCGGTACTACGGCCTGTCCTGCGTTTATGTCAACATGATCAGAGGGGAGGGCGGGGAGCCACCAGGGCGCCGCGCGCGCACCAAAGTCGCCTCTAGGTGGCTGATCCTGAAGAGAGTTCTCAGCAGCCAGAGGAGCTCGCCCCGGCTCCTTCTCAGCTCAGCCTTAGTCTGAAAGGCCTCAGCCATCCAAGCCCCGGGGATCCGGGGAGGAGGCAGGGCCAGGGAGGAAGGGGGAGGGAGTGAGGGCGGGAGCCAGGCAGCCTGCCCGGCAACCGAGGCGCCGGGCAGGGGCGCTCGCCTCTCGCGCGCTCTGAGTGCTGCAGCTCTAGCCCGCAGCCGCTTCTCTGTGCAGATCTGCAGCTTCTTCCCTTTGCCGGCCCCGGGCTAACCAAGCCGGCCGCCGAGCCTCCCATTCGGCCAGTGAGCGTGAACAAAAGCTCCCCGCTTGCGTAGCTATGCAGCCCCACGTGGAGACGCCCAGCCGCCTCTAAGTCAAATCCTTTAGCTTGTGCGCCTGGGTGCCCCGGCTTCCCGAGCCACCGGCGCGTGGGATCTCACAAGTCTTTCTCTCCCCGGTGCGTGCTCCCCACCCGCAGCCACGTGCAAAGACCCAAACGCCCCCTGGGTATCTACCCGAAAGCGCGCCAACACACTGGGACCGAGCCCCACGCGGAAAAATACGCGAACACGTACAAGGCCTGAGCGCCCGCCCAATCTAAAGTCGCTCTGCGATACGGACTCAGTTTTTGTTTGTTTTGGTTTTTTTTTAAATGCATTTACTGACCCTTTTGAGCCCAGTTCCTCTTCCATTCGGATTGCGGATACCGGTGTTCCCCCCATGGGGGTGTGGGTGTAGAGAAAACGAAGCCTCTGGAACAAGTGAGTGCAGCGACTGTGGGCCTGGCTCCGGCTAGCCCCTGCCCTCACCTCCGGGCCCGCTAGCCGGGGAACTGCAGATCTGGTCTGGGAGAGCTGGTTGGGGGAGGTGCACCAGCCTGGTATCTTCGTCAGGCATCGCACTTATCTCTTGGTGCCTCAGCTCCTTCTCCACCCCGGGGACTTATCTTGGCAGAAGTCGGGGTGAATTTGTAAAACACACCGTGAAACGCACCCCTCTACCCCAGAAGTCGGGAGACTCTGTCGCTGTTCGTCCCAGGGTGGGGAGGAAGGCAAACTGATGAGACTTGGATCTGGTAACCCTGTTCCTGCTGGGGTCAGAGAACTTCCCCAACCCACAGTCCTTGTTTGAGGGTGGAGGATCTGGGCCACCCCAGTTTAAGTGGAGGGCAATCTTAGCAAAGTTTTTCGTTTTCCTGGGACAAGACCTTCTTTGCTAGGAGAGGGAACAGAAAAAGGGGCTGGTTTCCTGGCCTAGAGATTAAGCTTTGGGTGTTTCCGTGTGGACACTTTGTGCCTAGAGTTTTCCCTTGACGATACCCCCAACCCCGCAACTCCTCTCCAACCGCAGGTCCGAACTGGCAGCTTCTGGGTGAATGGGCAGTTCCCTCTTCCAGATAGGAAAGAACATTTGAGGCCACGAGCTTTTCCAGTTTCGCATGTTTTGATGCACAAGGCTAAGAGCGTTCGGCGCCAGTCCTGAGCTTTCCTGATGAGGCCAATGAGAATAGAGTCGTTCTGTGAACTTGGTCTGACTTGCTATCTCGCCCCTTTCTTTCCCGGCCTTACTCTTCTGTCTCCGTGTGTACACAGTTGAGAAGGAAGGAAAAGAGGAGGTGATGCCCACAGCGGTGGCTTATAACACCCCTTTCCCCGTGCTAGATCGCCGAGGGAGCAAGAGGCCGCAAGCACGGGCCACCGAGGTCACCGTTGAGTCTCTGCAAGCAGAAGGCTCCCCTCCCCCTCCGCGCCTTGCCATTTTAGCCAGAGCAGCCCCTAGAACACAGAGATCCGCTTTGCCAGCGTTGGAGGGTTAAACTCTGTGCGCCCTCGTGGAGTGCAGGAAAATAGTTGTGGAACTGCGGTGTGTTTGACCCCCCCCCCGGTCACCCACGCAATGCCCTAAGGGTCCACGGGCTAGCCGGAGAGACCTTGGCAACGGTTACTCAGCATTTTGACCTCGGGGTCTGCTCTGCAAACGCGAGGCGAGCTCGCTGAGTTTGCATGCAAATATCTGGCCTTGTTTTTTGGCTCCAGCACGGACCGAGAGCAATTTGTGACCCTCGTGTCACCCCCCACACAAACACCCTTCAGTCGCCTATTTTTGACTGTAGCTCTAACTTAACCCTGGGGTCACCCCAGTTTGCCACTTCTGGCTTCCACCCCTCACTCCAATGCGCTAGGGAAAGGGGGGGGTGTGGAGGAAAGTTTGCGGGATTCTGAATCGAAATGTCTACATGTTGCTAATGGTCTACAAACTTCCGCCAATTACGACTGACCTCCCAGACGCTGCCCCTGGAGGCTCGTGTTCTGTAAGGGAGGCCGCGGCAATGCTAGGATCAAAAGCGGGAAGGTGCGAACTCCTCTCCGTCTTAGCGTGCCCGCCGCGCCCCCCTCCTAGTGGGTGATAAACCCACTCTGGCGCCGGCCGTGCGCTGGGTGATTAATTTGCGAACAAACAAAAGGGGCCTGGTGGCCACTGCATTAGGGTTAAACATTGGCCAGCGCCTTCCTCAGGCTTATGACAGGCCTGGCCTCCCGGAGAAGCCACAAGGTTAGCACCTCGAGCTGCCTCTAACCCCTCATAAGCCTCCAGCTGCTCGGTGCCGGGCTGCTTTCTAGACTCTTTGATTGAATTTAACCAGTCTTTCCGACAGACTCGAGAACTGGAAGAAAGCTTTGAATCCGGTGTCCCTAGAAGAAATGTCCTACCTTTTGCAATTGAAGGATTTTTTCTCCCTTTGCACTATAGGGACCGGGATTTTGAACAAGATAAAAACCTTGTGATGCCTGAAGCTTCTGAGGCAAAAGAGGAGCCTCCGGCTTCCAAGTGGGAGGGGGAACGGGAGGGATCACGGGCCTCAGCCAACTGTCTCAGCGGGCATCTGCAATACTCCATTTTCCCAATGCACCTCCTCCTCACACTCTAAAGGGACAGATACACTGGCCCTTAGTGACCTAATGGTATTTATCTGAAATTTACCAAAAAAAAAAAAAAGGCACGGAGAGGGAACGGACATGGTGTGGGTGGGGTGGCTGGCTTTGGCAAATCTGCTTCACTTGCCTTGGGTGAGGTCTCCGTGAGAGACACTGTTATACTCTTATGCCCTCAGCCCACCATACAGCTTTATTCCGTCCGAGGTGTCGCTATATTGGACGTCTTGTTGACAGGAGGGCATGGAGGGTCTGAGGCCTGATTATGAAACTGAGAGAAATCGAGATATGAACTTTACTGGGAAAGAGTTCTTGGTAGTCTGGCAGGGTGGAAATGGCTCTTTGGGCCTGATGCCCTGGCTGGTTTCATCCTGGGATCTCAGCCCCTTTGACGCTGACGTACTTAGAAACTGCCTAGAGCAGAATATGGGGTTCTCAGCCTCCTTCTCCCTTGAGAGGCAGGGCTTCCTTATGGTAAGCTCCAACACTCTTGCTCACCTGGACGACCTTAACCCTTCGGGTCTCCTCCCCACCAACACCACTCCTACGCATTTAAGGGCTCCTGTCTACCTCAGTGGCACACCTTTCATCCTAGAGGAAGCCTGAATTCAGGGTCTCCCTTACCTCTGGTTCCCCAAAACTTGATGGGAAAGCTTGGCTGTCTCTGGACTGGGTGCTTGGTCCCTTTGAGAAGATGTTTCTTAGTTTGCTTGGCTTGTTGCTGAGGCAGGAAACGCCTCTTTTCTTTCCCTCCCTCGAGTTTCTCTCTCTCTTTCCACCTTCCCTTCTTTCCTGTCTCCCTCTCTATCTATGTCTCTGTTCCTGGCCACTCAGAGTTATTTGAATGCATGGGCCTGAGCTTTCTCTAGGTTTCCTCGCCTGTCCATTTTCCTCATCCTCGGGAGTCTCATGTTCCCTTTCTCTCTACCACCCAGCCCTTGCTTCTCTCGTTCCTTCGTGGTGGTTTTTAGTTTTTAATTCACTATCTTGTCTACCATTTCTTTCTCTGTGTTTTCCCTGGCTGTCTTGGCTCTTTCTAGATTCCTCCCTGTCATTCTAACTCACCCTCCCCGCTGCCATATACACAAACACTTTTCCAGTTACCTTGACAGACTAGAGGTGCTTCTTCCCTGGGGTCCTAACAAACACCTTTGCCTCCTTGCTTGGATGGGAGAGATAAAACAAACAAACAACACTTTGACTTGGCCCATTTGTCTGCATGTTTCTCCTTCTCTTCTTAACTTTTTGAAAGTCACCTTTTTCTTGATTTGGCCAGTATCCCTGATCCCTATGACTCGGGATTCCCTCCCCACTCTTTAGGGCAGGCTGGGCTCCAAAACAGAGCTCCTAGCCCCTGCCTTGCTCCAGCAGGACGTGTCTTTCCTGTAAGGTGCTTTTTTCCTCTGTCTTCTGACATCCTTTTACATTATTGATCAGGGCAATCCAGTTCAAGAGTCTGAGGCAGTGAGCGAGATAGACAGTGGTCAGCATTCTCCAGGCTTGCCTGGGTGCCAGTTACCTTGTGCTGTTTCTAGGGTGTCATTCTTTATGTATTTACTCTGCGTTTATCATACCCCCTGCTAATGTAAATATGATTCTGGAAGAGGGAAAATGTAGAGATTTCACCTTCCACATTGTTCTTATTAGCACTCAGCTCTCATCAAAGAGGACCACCTCTGACAAAATGGTGAATTTGTACACAGCTAGTAATTCAGATAAGTTGTACTGGAGGCAGTATGGAAGGAGAAATGAAGGTAGCTGGAGAAGGTGATACTTTTTATACATCTTCCAATGCCCTCCCCCCAGGAACTGACCTTGGTTTCCTAATTCCAAGCCCACCAGCATCTTCTAGATTTGTGTGTGTGTGTGTTACCCAATTTAAAATAAAAAAGGGTAACACAATGGATATTACTCTATCAGAAATGAATTCGCAAGGAAAGAGCTGGAATTTTTCCTCCTCCTCCTCCTCCCCCCTCCTCCTCCTCCCCCCTCCTCCACCCTCCTTCCCCCTCCTCCCCCCCTCCTCCTCCCTCTTCTTCTTCTTCTTCTTCTTCTTCTT